TATAAAAGAACTCAGAAATGAAAATAGCCCCTGGGAATGAGATGATCGCCACCATGCTGGTTCTATAAAAATTAAAACTTGAACAAAAAAAATTGTACAAAATAAAATTGTAAATTGAATCATGTTAAAAAAGTCCCGCTGGGTTTCTTGCTGGTTCTTCCCATGTAAGAGGATTTTTTAACCGAACCAGAGGTAAATAAATAAATTACTTTCAATAAGTATTATACAATAATCTATATTGAATAAAAATCATTTATTTCATTTCATTAACTTAGCATCAAATGGACTGTTTTAATGATTGGTTTATCACCCTTATTCTATAAAAAAGACTACTTAAAGTATTATGTCTCATAAAAACCAGACTAGTACAAGTATGACTCGCGCCTGAGGGATCTTATTCAACTTAATTACGTGCGTAGATAGTTCATACATCCTGGGAAATATAAGTAAGGCTTACACCGAACATTCCTTTAGTGAAAATTTAAATCCGACTTGGATGGCAGGACAAACTAAACTTTGCAATGGAAAAAAATGTTTCCTTATACATCCATTTACATCACGCAATGCTAAAATGTAAATTAGTAATCGCAAAAAAAATACATTTTTATGTGATAGGTATACTCTTTGGTCTAGTAGTTGTATTAGTGCGACTGCTGATCATGAGGTCCTGGTTTCGAATCCCGGGTCGGGCCAAAAAATCAATTATTGAGTTTTTCCGTCTAGAAATTTTCGGTAGCTGCCCGGAGTCAGGAAGTTGGCGGTGTCTCACCCCCGTGCCTCGAAAAGCACGTAAAGCCGTTGGTCCTGCGTCTGATCTCTCTCCGATCGTGTTAGTTTACCGTCCCATCGGATTATGAGAATGAGAGAATAGAGAGTGCACCTGTACTTGCGCATACTTGGGCACACTTGGGCTCTTTAATCCTCTCCTACGCCGATGGCTAGTCTCCGTTGAGGCTGGCCGCCGCGACCGAAATTCGGTCTGGAGGACTTCATCATCATCATAACTATAGCTTTATTCATACTTTTGCTTCAACATAGTTTCTTGTCAATTATGATACTAAGTAAACGGGAAGTAAGTAGGTTTGATGCGCAAGTAGACACGCGAGTTTAAAAATATGTGACATAAATAATTAAGTTGACTTATTAGCTTGGATTTCTACTACTAATTAACCTCTCAAGTCCCGACATTTTATTGGACTTAAATCAAATAATCCAAGTGTACATAATTGGTCTTAAATTAAAAATGTGCTTCCAAATTACACGCCCTTTTTCATTCACTGCAAATTTGACGAGGACACTGCTTATATACATAAAAAAGCTTTTGATAAATCCAAATGTGCATGCCTTAAGAGCTCATGTTATACGTTAATTTTTAAAGTATGTTAAATACATACAAGTTTTCACAAATAACATTATTACTATTAATTCTAATTTTCCGATAAGTTTTTGTTAAACATGCTCATTGATGCTCATATGATCGTGAAAAAATGTAGAAAATAATTCTCAATCAACAATAGATTTTATTCATATCCCAAGTAGATATTCCTCGTAAACACTCTTTCGAAGCCCGTTCATAAAACTGTACTAGGATTTAATTCTTCAATACCCAGACTTTGCGGACTCTTAAATACTTATAATACTCGTAATGTGGTAGATATTTACTACGACTCTTTTTACGTTTTTTGGCACAAAATTTATAAAAATATTAATTTTTCTTTTTAATACCTTTTTTGTATGAATATAATATTTTTTTTTGTATTGTTTAGCTATTAGGTAAAGGCTTGTATAAAATGCTGTGAGCACAAAGTATGCGGTGTTTACCTATTATTGAGTGTACACTTAGTTTACATTACTGTCTTAGAATTAAGCAGGTATGTATTAGTATAAAAATTTTTGGTGAACCAAATAAATACAATAAAATAAATCATCATATCATTCCGTGGGTCTCGTAGGAGGTGACTAGACTTGGAGAAAAGTGTTATTTTTAAATAACCGTGACCGTCATTCCGGTCACATAAAAGTGACATACGGTTTAGATAAACTCTTTAAACATAAGCATTAAGAAAACGTAGATTTCAATTAAAATATAACTACTTATTTTCCAAATGCCAACCTCATCTGCTTGTGCTTATGTATATATACATAGCTGTCCGTTTGGGTACGTCATTTTACCAAGATTCTTATGGATGGATAGAAGGACAAACTTAACATTGCAGTGGAAAATATACTATTTCCTTATACATCGGTTTACATCACGCAACGCTCCAACAACAAAGTGAAAAGCCATTGTGACTTTGTCACAAAAGTAACATTGGATACCCACTTGGAACATTAGAATGACTTATAACGTGACTTTAAATATGCATTTTATATTTATTATAGGGTTTATTTAAGTAGTCGATTTTTATTACCTTCCTTACCTAAGCTACGAACGTGGGTATGTTTTAAGTACCTATATTATTATTTTTGAAATATACGAATTTCACCCAACTTAGTCATGTTGGTGTACTGTTCTAATACACGGTACACGCACCTTGTTACACAGTAACAAAATACGCGTAATTCCTTTTGTTTGGTTAAATCAATGACAGGAGCGGAGAAAATAGTACGGTGGCGGAGCGAAGGAACAACGTTATTTGGAACGAAGTTGGAGGGAGGGGATAGTTTTGTTATTTGATAAAATATTTTTGTGTATTAAAAAGTTATCAAACATTTTATTAAACAAAAGTTCCATAAACAAGTTAAATGGTTAAAACGGTAATAAAAAACAAAACTAAACAAATTTACTAAAAAGAAAAAAATCAAATATTATATGTCATTCTACAACTAAAGAAAATCCAACGAATATGTTAAAATCCAATATCTGTATATGAAAAAAATACTAATAAATTTGAAATTTCATAAAGAAAAGAAATATAGAATATAATTATATCGATATGTCCAGTAGGAGCCTCCAAATAAATAAAAAAAATTTAATCATAGGTATATTATATACTCTATTACGCTATCTTTGACCAACGCCATTTTGAGGAGTTTTGACGGGAACTTGGCCGTAGACGGATTGTCACTCCTGTTCTGTCGCTTTAATAATGGTTTGAAGTGGATTTTGATTCGTAAAAATGATGTGATATTGTGAATTGTCCGCACGTGTGAACTATTAGAGAAAACGACGAAACAAGTGCTTTAATGTTGGTATAAACCTCAAGTTATTTGCCGTCATCAACTGTCCACTGGGTTAAGCTGTCGTCAAAATCTCACAAGGGTTTCGCAATGTGATGCATCAGCATATTGTGAAAAAAAGAATATCAAAATGAATATCTAGCTCAAAAGGGCTAGAACCCAGAGCCGTAAAGCCAGTTAATAAAAAAACAACGCCATTTTCGTTGAAAACAACTTTGCCATAATATTCACTATAAATCGAAATTATAGCATGGAACGTAATTTTCGCACATTGGACTTTGTGAAGTATGGAACTTTGTGTTTTTACATGGTTTATAGTGATAATCACATATTTCATTTTCAGTTACTTTTGACTACTTTATTTCATCAAATCAAATCAAATAGTTTATTTGTGATCACGGACGAGTAAAAAAAGTATTTTTACTCGTCCGTGTTTGTGATGTTAATAGTTTGTTTATATACGTGAACAATGTGTATAAAATTGTTACGAGACAAAATATAAGCAAATAACTTTTTTAAAGTGTAATTTCTTACCTTTTTGGTAAAAAAAACTAATAACAAACTTTCTTAAGTACCCAGTTAATTTTTTTTTAATTTATTATTGCCTCTTTTACCCACGCGGCGAAAGAGTAGACTGAAGTACTTGGATAAAAAAAAGATACTTTAAGGACTTAAGGCGACACCGCGAAAACATGCAATGATGGTGCACCTTTCATCGAATAGTATAGTAATATGACACCACTAACAGAAATGGAATATTGATATAGGTAAATTCATGACATTATCTTGAATTCGCTTGTTCAAAAACACGATTGTATAATTTTGATTCGATCATAATTATTTGCGAAAAGACCTCTAAAAATCACTATAGTTGAAATTACAACGTAATTACTTAATCTATATTCTTGGAAATTACTCAAATATATTCATAATATCGATATTCATAATTTACTTTCTCATCATTTTGATTACTTAAACCATTAATTTTTTTTTTAATATTTTAAGATTCTGACAATTTCTAAGCAGTCTTAATTGTCGCGGACGCTACGCAATTTTAAGCAGATTAATACATAGAGTCATTGCCAAGGAAATTGATAAACTTATAATGTTTTAAGTGACATAAATCTTTTGTCCGTATGTCAGCAGGCATTTCATCACAAGGTATATACTTAATTTTGACAAATTTTTACTTAAGGCTTCTACATTGCTCAAATCGTGAAAAACGCCCAGGTTTACAAAAAGTTATAGCCGAATCCTTTTGTTTATTTGCTACAAAAAAAAAATATGTTTTATAGTTTAGATCGTCACAGTTCATTTGTATTGTTTAAAATTTAAGAATATTTGACCATTATTACAATAAAAAATCAAATACAAAGGCTATTTTAAATCTATTTTGTATTTTTTCTCAAGAACGGCTCAACAGTTTAAGATTAAATTTATATTAAAATATTTGTTAAATCATAATAAAAAAAATGTATTGTTTTTATTGTATTTTTGTTAAATATATTTCTTAAAATATAGTAAAACATAATTTGGACCCTTTTCGCCACCCGAAGCTCCCCCCGCTATGGCCCGTTACGGATATTCACCAGTGTCAGTTTGACTCTTGCGACGGGTGGACTGTGCGCGCGTTATTTTTTAAAAAAAAATATTAAAAAGTTCGCAATATTTCAAATTTATAAAAACAGATTTATTGTAAATAAAACGTACATAAGTAATATATGATAAAAAATTAGGAATTAAGTTGATTTATGTTAGTAAAATTGTTTTTAGTTTTAGTTTTGTATATAATCGTATCATAGAATAGACTAAGCTTGACAATGCCGAAATACAAAAGCAAGTCAAAAGTGAAGCGTGGCCAAGCTCTTCAAAACTATTGGTAAGTAAATTATCCTTGATATATTTTCTTTTGCGTAAATACAGGGTACGGCAGCGTTCCAAAAACTGTCGTGTTCCCTTCTATTGTATAGGTGCGGAATTTCTTTAGCCATAAATAAGCTTGGTACTACAAAAACGCCCAGTGAAAAAGTGTAAAATAATATGAAAGTGACCATTTTTGGCTGGTCTGATGCTACAGTCCTGAACTCAGTCTCAAGGTGGGTTAAGGATCTCAGTGACGGAACCACGTAGAACCATTGTGTTTGTACTCATTTGAAAGGGCTCGCAGCTAACTAGCTGGCCGTGATGATTTCACTTACCTGGTGCTGCACTCCGAAGTAGTCCGAAGGTGGGTACAGGATCTCAGTGACGGAACCACGTAGTACCATTGTTTTCGTACTCATTTTAAAGGGCTCGTAGCTACCTAGCTGGCTGTGATATTTTCATTTACCTGATGCTGCACTCCGAAGTAGTCCGAAGGTGGGTACGGGATCTCAGTGACGGAACCGCGTAGAACCATTGTGTTTATACTCATTTTAAAGGGCTCGCAGTTAACTAGCTGTCTGTGATAATTTCATTTACCTGATGCTGCACTCCGAAGTAGTCCGAAGGTGGATACAGGATCTTAGTGACGGAAACACGTAGTACCATTGTTTTCGTACTAATTTTAAAGGGCTCGTGGCTACCTAGCTGGCTGTGATGATTTTATTTACCTGATGCTGCACTCCGAAGTAGTCCGAAGGTGGGTACGGGATCTCAGTGACGGAACCGCGTAGAACCATCGTGTTTGTACTCATTTTAAAGAGCTCGCAGTTAACTAGCTGTCTGTGATAATTTGATTTACCTGATGCTGCACTCCGAAGTAGTCCGAAGGTGGGTACAGGATCTCAGTGACGGAACCACGTAGTACCATCGTTTTTGTGCTCATTTTAAAGGGCTCGCAGCTAGCTACCTAGCTGGCTGTGATGATTTCACTTACCTGATGCTGCACTCCGAAGTAGTTCGAAGGTGGGTACAGGATCTCAGTGACGGAACCACGTAGTACCATTGTTTTTGTACTCATTTAAAAGGGCTTGCAGCTACCTAGCTGTCTGTGATTATTTCACTTACCGGATGCTGCACTCCGAAGTAGTCCGAAGGTGAATACAGGATCTCTGTGACGGAACCACGTAGAACCATCGTGTTTGTGCTCATTTTAAAGGGCTCGCAGCTAACTAGCTGGCCGTGATGATTTCATTTACCTGATGCTGCACTACGAAGTAGTCCGAAGGTGGGTACGGGATCTCAGTGACGGAACCGCGTAGAACCATCGTGTTTGTACTCATTTTAAAGGGCTCGCAGTTAACTAGCTGTCTGTGATAATTTCATTTACCTGATGCTGCACTCCGAAGTAGTCCGAAGGTGGCTACAGGATCTCAGTGACTGAACCACGTAGTACCATCGTTTTTGTGCTCATTTTAAAGGGCTCGCAGCTAACTAGCTGGCCGTGATGATTTCATTTACCTGATGCTGCACTCCAAAGTAGTCCAAAGGTGGGTACAGGATCTCAGTGACGGAACCACGTAGTACCATCGTTTTTGTACTCATTTTAAAGGGCATTTGAAAGAGCTCACACTGAGCTGTCTGTGATAATTTTACTTACCTTTTTGTGAAAATGCTTTTATTGTACTCTTTTGTTGAGAGTGACTGTTGCGATAATATTTTTAATGTAACTTTATGTTTTTAGGCAATTGAGAAATCAGCGGAAATTCCATTCAGAAAATCTGGGCAAAGATCCGTCAACTGAATCTAATGCATTACATTCATCTACGACTATTGCAAAAACTCACGTTCCGTTCGGTGTTGCAGTTGATGAGGAGATTCCGTTGCCAGATATTACGGTAGCTATTTTTTACAATTAACAGTGCCAGTCTATTTTTAATGTTGTTAAATTGAACTTTGACTCCGGGTCCCCATTGCGCATTAATAACCATTCGTTTTTGGTAAATAAATACGTACTGAGGAAACCGAAAAGTCTGAGAACTCATAAAATTCGAGAAATCCTATCCTATATGGTCAGTAAAAATAAGCAAGATATTATTTAACAAGATAATATATGAGACGGAAGTTTTTTGTATATGAATTTAGCAATGTATTACATGATAATTATTTTGTTCTCAGCAACAACAAGATAACATTTTACCGGAATTAATTATTGAAAAGGATCAACCAGAAACAGGAAAAAGAAATATATCTGGCAGACGAATTGTTGATATAAAATACTTTTTTTCAAAATTACAAGAAATCAGCAATCATAGCCCATATAACTGTGGAGTACAAAGTTTAAAAATTGTTGGAGAGAAACGAGTTGGACTGTCATCCAAGTTTACTCTAGAATGTTTAATGTGTAAAGGAAAGTTTTTATTAAGTAATATCCCAGGTGATCTGAAAAAAAAATACAGAATCAGTCGCTGGTGCATCGACGTGTAAAGAAAAGTATATTGTCTCCGGTGATCTGGACATAAATACAGCTGTGGTTGCCGGTGCAGTTTCTGTTGGTATTGGCTACTCACAATTAGATGAATTACTATCAGCAATCGATTTACCTATGATGACTGAGCCTCTGTACCAAAAACAGCATGAGTTTGTTTCTAACGCCTGGGAAAAAGCACTTGGTCAATCCATGCAAGAAGCCGCAGAAGAAGAAAAAAGGATTGCTTTAGAAAAAGGTCGTGTAACCACTGGTGGCATACCTATTATAGATGTTATTGCTGATGGATGCTGGAGTAAGAGATCATATAAAAAGAATTACTCAGCACTTTCAGGAGCTGCTGCCATAATCGGAAGAGAAACGAAAAAAATTTTGTTCCTCGGTGTTAAAAATAAGTACTGCAGCATATGTGCGCAAGATTGTAACAAAAATCAAACTCCGAGAGCTCATCAATGTTACAAAAATTTCACGGGTGCATCTACTGCCATGGAATCTACCCTGATAGTAGAAGGTTTTAAATCATCTGTTGAAATGTACGGTCTGATTTATGGACGTCTAATATCTGACGGAGATTCCAGCACGTACTCTAAAATATTAGAAGCAAGACCCTACCCTCAATTTACAGTTGAAAAAGTAGAGTGCAGAAATCACCTTTTAAGAAACTTATGCAACAAACTGGAAAACTTAATCACAGATACAAAATATCCCATACATCTTAGAAAATTAATTACAAAAAAACGCATAATGACCATTAGGTCCACAATTAGAAAGTGCATCAAAAAATACCATGATTCTACAGAGACTAGATTTTTGCACTCACAAACTTTTTGAGGACATTCAAACTGTACATTTACATGCCTTCGGAAACCACACCAACTGTAAAATCCATTTCTGTAATCGTCGTCAAACTGAAACTGAATCTGTACCAGCGGATTTTTTTCATAAGTTCTTTATGGCAGAGAATATGTTTTATTATAAATAGTATTGCTGGCCATTCAAGAAGTCTTGTTCATGATGTTGAAAGTAACATCGTAGAATGTTTTCACAGCATTGTGGCCAAGTTAGTTGGGGGTAAAAGAGTAAATTACTCTCTGCGAAGCGGCTATCAAGCTAGATGTTCAGCTTCTGCGGTTACGTTCAATACTAAAAGAAAACCTACTACAATATTGTACAAAACGATTGTTGGCAAAAGCCCTAAAGGCCGAATGAGCACTTTCGATAATAAGTATCGGAAACTCAGAGGCTTGAAGAAACGCGCCAATTATAAAAAGCCGCAGAAGACGTGTGACGCTATAACTCAAAATAAAGATTATGGTGAACAAAGCTCTAAACCGGATATGGGTGAAGATGTTCTTAATTTAATGAAGGAAACTTTTTTATCCAATTTAAAAAAAAGTAAAGAAGAAAGAACATGGATTGAGCGGCAGACCATTTTGCAAAGCGAGTCTAGCGAATGGCTTGAACTTAGACGTTCTTTGTTGACAGCTTCGAACTTTGGCAAAGTGATCAAAATGAGGCCGGATACTAGTTGTGCCAATATAGTAAAGCAATTGCTGTACAAAATTAATATAGATGCCGTTCCTTTGCAGCACGGAAGAGAATATGAAAAAAAAGCGCTACAACAATTATCTATGCAAGAAGCAGTGGATATAAGACCTTGTGGGCTTTATATAGATAACGAAATTCCGTATTTGGGGGCTACACCAGATGGTATTATAGACGAAGAAACAATAGTGGAGGTTAAGTGTCCAATAACGGCATTTAAGACAGGACTAGAGGAAGCTATTACAAAAGAAAAAGTAAATTTTTGGATTAAAGACAAATCAGGTAATTTAGTGATAAATAAAAATCACAACTGGTTCTACCAGGTACAAGGGCAGTTGCACGTGACTCGCAAAGCAAAATGTGTATTTGCTGTATGGTTCAGTGAGTCGCAACCACTGAAAACGGAAGTTATTTACAGGGATGATGATTTTTTTGAAAACAAAATGAAGTCAAAATTATGCAATTTTTATTTAAATTGTATATTGCCTGAAATTTTAGACCCAAGACATACTAGAAATATGGAAATTCGTAATCCAATCTATGTAATAGAATCTATAAAAAAAAGAAGAGAAAAAAAACTCAAGAAGAAAATCCAAAGCATAATTCCAATTGCTGAGCAGGAAGAAAATACAACGCTTTCGTTATATCAAGAATCGACACGTTCGTCAACACCAGTAATTCCAGAAGCGGAGCAACCAACCTATTCACGATACTTTGATTATAATGAATTTTAACTTGCACAAAATATTCAATGGTTGATTTAATCTTGACTTAAATCTGTCAAGATTAAATCAACCGTTGCGTGCTTTTTTTTAAGTATTTTTAACATAAAATAATTTAAAAAAGCACGCAAAGTTTGTTTCCTCTTTTACTTAACTTAGCACTTACATATATGAGCCAGATCATCACTAGACCTTCAGAGTATTTATCTTAGCAACATAAATAAATAAATAAATATCATTTTATTGCCACTTTTTAAAAAAACATATGAACTAATTATTTAATCTTAATTTAATTTAGGCAAACGGAGGTGACTCAGCTTTTGCTTACATGGATCATGGTCATCCACATACCTTCACAAAGTGTCACGTAGCAGCGTCCGTGCTGAATATGAGAGTTTCCGAAAACTAAATATTCCTAACAATTTCCATTGCTGAGAACCACTTGCTACTTACCTGGTCATCCACAAACCTTCACAAAGTATCATGTATCAGCGTCTTGGCTGAATATGAAAGTTACTGAAAACTAAATCTTCCTAACCATTTCCATTGCTGAGAACCACTTAGTACTTACCTGGTCATCCACATACCTTCACAAAGTGTCACGTAGCAGCGTCCGTGCTGAATATGAGAATTTCCGAAAACTAAATATTCCTAACAATTTCCATTGCTGAGAACCACTTGCTACTTACCTGGTCATCCACAAACCTTCACAAAGTATCATGTATCAGCGTCTTGGCTGAATATGAAAGTTACTGAAAACTAAATCTTCCTAACCATTTCCATTGCTGAGAACCACTTAGTACTTACCTGGTCATCCACATACCTTCACAAAGTGTCACGTAGCAGCGTCCGTGCTGAATATGAGAGTTTCCGAAAACTAAATATTCCTAACAATTTCCATTGCTGAGAACCACTTGCTACTTACCTGGTCATCCACAAACCTTCACAAAGTATCATGTATCAGCGTCTTGGCTGAATATGAAAGTTTCTGAAAACTAAATCTTCCTAACCATTTCCATTGCTGAGAACCACTTAGTACTTACCTGGTCATCCACATACCTTCACAAAGTGTCACGTAGCAGCATCCATGCTGATTATGAGAGTTTCTGAAAACTAAATATTCCTAACCATTCCCATTGCTAAAAACCACTTGGTACTTACCTGGTCATCCACATACCTTCACAAATTGTCACGTAGGAACGTCCGTGCTGAACATGGGAGTGAATACAGATACAAGGTTTAAAGTGAATAATACGTCAATTCACCACTAGGTCTCTCAGAGATCGAAAAAAATTATGCAAATAAGTTGTCATATTATCTATACATCGTTAATCTTTGTCTACTATTTACGTAGTGCCATTGCAGTACGTCTGCTTTTGGTAGATGTCGCTAAATTTAAACAAAGTCTAAATCGTCGATGTTACTGATCATTGTAGGAGCCTTAACAACATTTCGAATATAATGACAACGTACATCTATATGTTTTGATCTATTATGACTTTGATTACTTAAAGCTAATTTTGACACACTTTGATTATCGCAATACAAATCAATTACATTAAGTGTATCAGTAATTTCATGCATTAAATTTCTTAAATAGACAGCTTCTCTAGAAGCTTAGTATATTCCGCTTCTGTACTATACAGTGAGACAGTTTTCTGTTTCCTACTTTGCCATGAAATAACAGTTTCAGTGTCACTGTTTGAGAAAGGCCAAAAAAATATTTTTTGAGCACTCTTATCTTTGGTTCTGAGGACTGTTATAATGTACTCTGAGGTTACGAGGGGTCCCTTCTAAATATTACTATACTTTTTGTAGAGGTCTACAAATTTATCACGGGGGAAAAACATGTAAACCGGCGGGACTTCACATATTAAACCTTAGACCTTAGTATTTGATATTTACTTCAATATCTCCACATCCAAAGTAAAATGACAAAACAATTGAATAAAATGAAAATGACAGAATAAATAAAAAAGTTAACAGAATTATTTTATCAACAAACTTCTTCTTTACTATTATGTATACATACTTACTAATGAAACGTTTCTACCAAAAGTTATAAATTGGGCAACATCAGACCACCCCGCTGTCTAGACTCTTAACTGGGTCAAACTGTCGGCATACATATTTACGAATTTATGCTTCTGTGTGTTCCACAAACAAAGATTGTCCGGATTTCTTATTATACTTATATTTTTACTTTCCTCAACTATCTTTTTAAATAGGTTCCTTCAGACTGTCTTTATTATATCACAGTTTCTTTTGTAGTAACAAACCCATTTCAAACCTAGAAAAATAATAATTTACTTATATTTTCTTAAATTTTTTAGATTATAGTCGATGCTTAGTCTTTATTTATAGTTAAAAAAATACGCGTTTGAATGGTCAAAGCAAATTAAATAAAGTTTAAGAAATACTGGGGTATCGTTTAAATATGTATCTTCATCCTCTATTCTATGGAATCACCCCTGAATACACTTACATTGATTAAAAATAGAATAACTTAAATCGTTTCAACCGTTTCCGTGAAACAGGTTAACAAAAAAACTCGTCTTATATAGAAACTTCTCATTTTTCAAGCGCAGTTGGTAAGACAAAAAAACAGGAGTGTATTCTTTACTTCTCAATTTATAGATAACTTAGATAATAAAATCAAAATAATATAAGTGCGAAATATTTGATTAAGTATATATTTTATACATCGTATCTTTATGTTAAATAGCACATAAATGTACCATGGAAATTTACTTTATTTTATTTTTTTATACTTCTGTGCACAAAGTAGTACATATGACGGACTTAACGCCACAGAGCATTGTATCCTAGTCAATCATTAGGCTAAATAGAGATACACATTTAAGAGGCGTTGCAAGTAAAATCAAAATAGAAAGGGATGATTAAAATAAAATTATATGAATAAATACACAATTGATATAGGACCGCTGTGAAAATAATTATTAACTAACCTAGGAGATATCGTATTAAATATAAATTAAAAAAGAACGTACTGTCAAATTATTAAAAAAAGAACATAAAGTCTAGGTACTCGTACTTGACAACATTCGCCTTTTTGAAAGCTGATATAAATAAAATACATTGCTGGCAACAAATATTTTTCCATTTGTTTTACTTAGCAACGTTTCACAAATCATTGCACTTTGTGTACGTTGTTTCGTTCTAAGCTCGTGTGCCACATGAGTAATTGCTTTTATGTATAAGCTTGTCACACTTATTTATTGAATGAATATAATTCTGTAATCAGAACACGATTTCCTATATAACGAAATTAGGTTGCAGCAATTATAATACTAAAATACAATAATAAAATAACTAAAACTAAAAATTTTAATAAACACACAATCCTACTCCCCGTGTTATCCAAACTCTCGTGATGGTTACTTTCCTTTGAGCAAGAAAAGGACCAGTCCTCTTAACTTCGATGAACTGTATCAGTGATGACAGTCGTCGATACAGTTCCTTTAGGAAATTCATCGCACGTTACCACACGGACCGATGGTCTCTACAACAAATGGCACAAATATTCTTTTCTTATAGACTCATATTTGCGTCATTTACTTAATTTAGCTGCGTCTGATGATTAAAGTACGAAGGTAATCTAACCAAAGAGATAATTTATTTCTTAACAGTAACAGAATTACAAACAAATCATAACTTGTGGCGAGATTTTAATCTAAATAATGGCACATTAATAGATTCTATCATGGCGAAACAGGGACATTAGTTACAAATAGTAAAAAAATAAACGTTAAAATAATATTTTAGACATATAACTCGCCCGCTGGTGCACAAATCGAACTTTCAACTCCAGCGCGCGTTCTGTTTGATTTAGACTTTATAAAAAACTTATAAAACTTCGTTTTTCTTTTTACAGACTACGGGTAAAATTTAGTAAATGGTTTAGATAAACTCTTTTAACTTAAGCATTAAGAAAACGTAGATTTCAAATAAAATATAACTACTTCTTCTCCAAATGCCAATCTCATCTGCGTGTACGATTATTATGTACTATAAGTTAGTACTACTTATAGATATATAAAGACGTAGATGTCTGTTTGGGTGGTTACCTATTCCTTTACGGGTGAATAAAAGGACAAACTTTGCAGTGGAATTTTTTTTTCCTTATACATCGGTTTACATCACGCAACGCTCCAACAACAAACGTTAGTAATAGCCATATATATATATATATATATATATATATATATATATATATATATATATATATATATATATATATATATACAAACCCACCTTATATAATAAGTACTCACTTATCAAAACCTATATAATATAAAAAAATATTACTATTTTTTACACCTCTAAGGGACTTTATCTTAAACCTTAATAAAGCTAAATAATTCAACTTTATATTTATTCAAAGGGACCATAAAAAAAAAAAAATAAATCTAATCTTATAATTTATGACCATAATTCAGCTGTTACATTTTATATCTTTGCTAAATATGAAATTTATAATTCAAATATTTTCTGAATAGATCTGTGCAAAACTGATGAATGGGCACCTGAGTGTTTATTTGTAGGTTATACAAATACTTATTTGAACCCTTAGGGCTGCAACTCATTGCTCAGCCACTGCGACACTGAGCCGTGGTAAAGCCACGCTGCAGCTATATTATGACCGTAACACGAATTAGTCGGCTCGACCGGGGAAGGACACGACCTCAAAGAATACCAGCGTCAAAACAGCAGCTTAATACTGCTGTGTTTCGTATGGTGAGCGTAGAGATACGGAGACCCTTTTTTATTTGCAACGAGGAAATCCATCTTAGTCCTCAGGGGTGACAACGCATCTGCGCTTTGATTCTTTATCGAGGATAAATCTAGATGTCCAGGGTCCACTGCATCCATTAACTATCAGGTGGACTGTGTGCTCGTTTGTCACCCTTATTCTATACAATATGTAACAAAAATCCTGTGGTTCCCGTTAAGTGTGCTATCAGAATCAGTATCTAAGCGTATAGAAATAA